CAGTTGTGTGTTATCCACAGTTAACAGTGTATGTTATCAACATGGCAGAGCAGTAGCTGTCAGGGCTTGGACCCCACACAGCCCCTGAGATCCCGCACAGACACCTTAGACCCCGCACAATCTCCTGAGACCCCACACAGCCTCCTAAGACCCCCAAACAGCCCTCCTGAGACCCTGCACAGCCACTTGAGATCCTCTGCTGGAGACATAAGGCCAATACTCCGGAGCTTTACAGAGTATGTAGCTTCATATTATTCTGCATTGATGTATAATGCATTGCTGGGATTTGTAGTCCTCTATAGCTGGTTGCCATTCAGCATTGCTGTATAATGTATTCCTGAGATTTGCAGTTCTCTGTAGCTGATGGTATAATTCTGCATTGCTGTATGATGTATTACTGAGATTTGTAGTCCACTCTAGCTTATGGTATTATTCTGCATTGCTGTATAATGTATTGCTGGGATTTTTAGTCCTCTACAGCTGGTGGTATTCTGCATTGCTGTAAAATGTATTGCTGAGATTTGTAGTCCCTCTACAGCTTGGAGTCAGTAGCAGAACTACCAGGGTCACAGCGTTTGCAGCTGGGACCAGGCCCTGGCACTTCACCACTGTCCTAAAATCATTAGTCTGTATTGCTTTAGAAAAACTGTCACATGGCACACACACAAAGGGTATTTGTAATTGGTATTGGCGAGTACTTGAGCAGCAGTATCGGTACTCATACTTGGTGTGGAAAACATTAGATCTGTGCATCCCTAAAAAAAAAAATGCAAACACATATATAAAAGATAATATGTGCTTTTAATATTTTTCTGAATTTGAGCATGAGCATCGCAACCATGACCTGTGGATTGTTGGTGCAATTCTCTGGCTTCTGCAGACTCTTCCTCCCAGCCCCTGTACGTGGCAAGGTATGGACTTTTAGTTAAGGGAATGGGAGAAAGTATGAATGGACTTCAAGTGCTGTCACCATATGCCTGCGCAGTCAGGCTGAACTTGAAAAGTGACAGCAATCTGCTCAGAAAAGAACCCTGTGATCCAGGTATGTGTGTGTGTGTGGGGGGGGTTGTTGAGTTAGGGACGTCATCATGTTACATGTTGCAGAAAAGAACCCTGTGATTTAGGTATGTGTGTGTGTGTGTGTGGGGGGGGGGGGGGGG